CTACAAAGAAAGAAAATTACAGGCCAATATCCCTGATGAACATAGATGCTAAAATCCTCAACAATATACTAGCAAACCAGATCCAGAAATACATTAAAAATATCATACACCACGACAAAGTGGGATTTATTCTGGGGATGCAAGGTTGGTATAATATTTGCAAATCAATAAATGTGATACAGCTCATAAACAAAATGAAGGACAAAAATCTTATGATCATATCAATAGATGTGGAAAAAGCATTCGACAAAATCCAGCACCCATTTCTGATAAAAACTCTCAGCAAAGTGGGAATAGAGGGATCACACCTCAAAATAATAATGATAATGCATGACAAACCTACAGCCAACATCTTACTCAATGTTTAAAAACTAAAAGGATTTCTGTTAAAAACAGGAACAAGACAGGGTTGTCCCCTTTCACCACTCTTATTCAACATAGTACTGGAAGTCCTTGCCACAGCCACCAGATAGGAAGAAAACATAAAAGGTATCCATCTTGGAAAGGAGGAAGTAAGACTGTCATTACTTTCAGATGACATGATATTGTGCATAGAAAACCCTAAAGACTCCACCAAAGTACTATTAGATTTGATAAATGAATTCGGCAAGGTAGCTGGAAATGAAATTAACACCCAGAAATCGATGGTATTTTTATACACAAATAATGAACTCTCAAAAAGAGAAACTGAAAAAGTATCACATTTACCAATGCAACTAAAAAAATAAGATACCTAGGAATAAACTTAACCAAGGATGTAAAAGATCTGTACTCATTAAACTACAGGACACTGAAAAAAGAAATAGACGAAGATATAAACAAATGGACGAATATACCATGTTCATGGATTGGAATAATTAATATCATTAAAATGTCCATACTGTGCAAAGCAATTTATAGATTCCATGAAATTCCTATTATAATACCAACGGCATATTTCACAGAACTAGAACAAATATCCCAAAAATTTATATGGAACCAAAAAAGACCCCGAATAGCCGCAGCCATCTTGAGAATGAAGAACAGAATGGGAGGAATCACTTTACTGGATATCAAACTATCCTACAAAGCCTTTGTAATAAAAAAAGCCTGGTATTGGTACAACAAAAGACATATAGATCAATGGAACAGAACAGAGACCCCAGAAATAGACCCATGCAATTATGGTCAGTTAATATTTGACAAATGACGCCAGAACATTTAATGGAGTAAAGGCAGTCTCTTCAATAAATACTGTTGGGAAAATTGGACAGCTACATTAAAAAAAATGAAACTAGATCAACAACTTTGACCATACATAAGAATAAATTAAAAATGCATAAAAGATCTAAATGTAAGTCGCAAAACCATAAAAATCCTGGGAAAAAACATAGGCAGTAAAGTCACAGGCATCTCACTTAGTGGAATTTTCACTGATAAATCACCTAGGACAAGAGAAGCTAAGGAAAAAATAAACAAATGGGACTACATCGAACTAAAAAGCTCCTGCACAGGAAAATACAAAGGAACCCCATGGTATGGGTGAACATATTTGCCAAGGATGTATCTGATAAGGGGCTAACTTCCAAAGTGTACAAAGAACTCATACAACTCACAAAGAGGAAGACAACCAAACCAATTAAAAAATGGGCAAAGGGCCTGAATAGACACTTCTCCAGAGAGGACATACAGATGGCCAAGACATATGAAAAAATGTTCAACATCACTAATCATGAGAGAGATGCAAATTAAATTGTAGGCTACCATCTACAAATCAACAAATGACATGTGCTGGCGAGGATGTGGAGAAAGGGGAACCCTGGTACACTGCTGGAGGGAATGCAGACTGGTGCAGCCACTATGGAAAACAGTATGGAGGTTCCTCAAAAAATTAAAAATGGAACTGCCTTTTGATCCAGTGAGCCCACTTCTAGGAATATATCCTAAGAATCCTGAAACACTAATCAGAAAGAATATATGCACTCCTATGTTCATAGCAGCACAATTTACAATAGCTAAGATCTAGAAAGAGCCCAAGTGCCCATCAGTAGACGAGTGGATAAAAAAGCTGTGGGACATTTACACCATGGGATACTATGCAGCTGTAAAGAAGAAAGGTCTCTTATCCTTTGGGACAGCATGGATGGACCTGGAGAGTATTATGCTACGTGAAATAAGCCAGGCAGAGTCAAAGACAAACATCATATCATCTCACTTATTATGTGGAATCTAAGGAACTTAATAAACTGATGAACAAAATAGATTCAGTGACATGGAAGCATGGATCAGACTGACGAATCTCAGAGGGAAGGTGGGGATTGGTGGGTGGCTCGGTGGGTGGGGAGAGATTAACCAAAGAATTTATATGCATATATGCATAAGCCATGGACACAGACAATAGTGTGGTGAAGGCCTAGGGAGAAGAGTGGGTGTGGGCTGGAAGGGGTCAATGGGGAAAAAATTGGGACATCTGTAATATTTTGAACAATAAAACAAAACAAAAATGTCTACCTATAAAAAAAAGAGTCAATCATTATCTTCTCAGTGCAAATGGTAGAGGGAACATCTATATGAGCTCACATACAATCCGTGGAAAAAATGGTTTAAGTTTTTCAGAATCTAATAAAACTGTTTTTCCCGTGTTGAAATCCTGCCTAAACTACTATTCTATGAGAAATCCAAGGCTCAAATTACTCAGCAAAAATTAAGTTTCAAATGTGATTCTGTGGGGAAGAAAATCGAACACAACTTTTATAACAAGGCCAAGAAAAGTTGTAAGATAGTATAGTTATCTGCAATGCAAAGATCTAAATTTGGTCATTTATTTCCAAAATTCTCTTAATACCACAAATTGACTCTTTAATCAAAAGAAAATGCATTCCTAATGAAAATGTAAACTGGTCCACCCTTTCTGAACAGTGTTCTAGCAACATGTAATCTTCATACTCTTTGACCCACTAATTCTACTTCTAGAAATCTAACATAAGGAAAAAATCAGGGATATGTACAAAGGTGTATGGCTCAAGGCTGTTTGCTGCAGAAACAGAGATGGAGAGACAGATAGACACAAAGAGAGAAAGAAAGTTAGAACAAAGACAGACTAGCAGAAAGGGACAAATAGAAAGAAACAATCTAAATGAAAAACAACTGAAGGCATGATTAAATTATTATATCTCTATACAACGGACTAAGGTAGCCATTTAAAATGTTATTAAAAATTAATGACAGAATAAAATATATGTAATATGTTAAGTTTTTAAAAAGGCAGGATATAAAATTTTATATAAGGTTTAGCATCCATCCAAAACATATACTATATTGGTTAGAGATATGGGCTTTAAAGTCCAATCTGTATTCAGATATGACTATGGCTTACTAGTTGAATGACCTTAGGCAAATTACTTTATCTCTCTAATTCTCATTTATAAATATAAGTATATCATACAAGGTTATTAAAAAACCTAAATGATACAACAAATGTATAACATTTGGGGTGTCTACCACAAAATAATTCAATAAATTGTCACTATCACTTGTAGTATTACAATCTTAATGTAAAATATTGTACATACATACAGAATAAAAGTGATGAAACAAACTAAAACAGTAACAGGAACTATATCTGAGAGTACAAGTGATTTTTATTTTTTTCCTTACATTTTTCTTATATTTCCTAAGTTTAACAATTAATACATAATGCTTTATCTGAAAAAAATTTAATGGAGGTAAAGTTAATTTAGAGAGTTTCATAACACCCTACTTCCACAGTAATATCGCCCATCCCTGACCCCCCAGACCTCTACATGCACTCTTAACCCACCCTTATTTACACACTGACCTGAAGGACAGTAAGCTGGAATTTAGTCCCTTTCTCTGGTCGAGGACAGGAAGCTCTTCTCTGTTTGATCCGATCTTGTTTGCCATTTCCACTTGGATTATCAGGGATATTGGTGTTTTCCTTCACAGCTGCCACATCATGATGTAAACTAGTAATTAAAAACATAAAAGCAAGTTTTATTCAGCTTCTCAGAAGAGACATTAATCTGTGATTCTCAAAGACTAATATATAATCCAAATCAGAGTTAACATATGAAATCCCTTCATGATTAGAATCATTTCATACTGATATTAAAATTCTAAGAAAACCTTCCAATTATGAAATCATAAATAATGAGTTTATGGAAAATAAATATTACAATAAGTTTTAAAAAGTTATGACTTCAGTATGGCCAGTGTTGCTCAGTGGTCGAGCATCGGCCCATGAACCAAGAGGTCACTGGTTCAATTCCTGGTCAGGGCACATGTCTGGGTTGCAGGCTCGATTCCCCAGTAGGGGGCATGTAGGAGGCGGCCAATTGATGTTGATGTTTCTCTCTAATCAATGTTTCTATCTCTCTCCCGCTCCCTTCCTCTCTTTCTAAAATCAAGAAAACCATATTTTATTTATTTAATACTCACCTGAGGGTATTTTTTCCATTGCTTTTCAGATAGAGTGGAAGGAAAGGAGGGAGGGGGAGAGAGAGAAAGAGAGAGACACATCAATGTGAAAGAGACACATTGATTAGTTGCTTTCCACACTTGCCCTGACCGGGCTGAGGATTGAGCATGCAACTGAGGTACATGCCATTGGCCAGAATCGAACACAGGACCCTTCAGTCCTTAAACCAACGTTCTAGCCACTGAGCTAAACTGGCTAGGGCAATAAAAACATATATATTTTTTAAAAGTTATGATTTCACAATTCTGTAAATATACTAAAAGCCACTGAGCTGTATATTTTAAATGGGTGAATTTAATGCTGTTTGAATTATATCTCAATAAAGCTGTTCTAAAAAGTTATTAAAAAAAAACTGAAACCATGTTGTATTTATTTGACAAACATTTTCTCACAATAGTGGAAGAGAAAGAAAAACACCACCAGTGATAGGCCTCTATGGAACCTTTTATCAGAGAACCCTGTTGATCAATTTTTAAAAAATATATCTTTATTGATTTCAGAGAGGAAAGGAGAGGAGGAGAGAGAGAGAAACATCAATGATGAGAGAGTCATTGATCAGCTGCCTCCTGCATGCCCCTTGCTGGGGATCGAGCCCGAAACCCAGGAATGTGCCCTGCCCGGGAATCCAACAACCTTGATCTCCTGGATCATAGGTTGATGCTCAACCCTTGAGCCACGCCGGCCAGGCTCTTGATCAATTTTATCTTGTTTGTTTTGAGGTTTCTTATTAGTAGATTCAAGTAATACTTCTAGAAATTAATTCTCACTCAAAATGTATCTTTTTATGTAATGAACTCAATAGGTGATAGATTAGGTGTGAAAGGCAGGAATAAGGCAGAACAACAAATTAAAACAAGATAAAAGAAAATATGGTATATATTATACAATGCAATATTATCCAGCCACGAAAAAGAATGAAATCTTGGCATTTGCGAAAGCACGGGTAGGCTTTGGGGGTATTAAGGTAAGTGAAATAAGTCAGAAAATATAAAGACAAATACATATAATCTCACTCATGTGTGAAATCTGTAAACAAGAAACAAAACCCAAGCTCATAGATACAGAGAACAGATTGCTAGTCGCCAGAAACAGGGGTGGGGTGCACGATGCAGGCAAAATAGGTGAAGGCGGTACAAACTTCCAGTTATAAAATAAATAAGTCATGGGGATGTATTGTGCAGCATGGTGACTATAGTTAATAAAGCTATATTGCATATTTTAAAGTTCCTAAGAGAGTAGATCTTAAAAGTTCTTATCACAAGGAACAAATTCTGTAACTATGTGAAGTGAGGGATGTTAACTAGATTTACTGTGGTAATCATTTCACAATATATACAAATATTGAATCATTATGTTGTATACTCAAAATATAAGGCTGTATGTCAGTTATATCTCCATATCAATTAATCAATGAAATACACCAAAATTTTGCTTTAAAAATGAAAAAGAATGATGTGCAAAAGGTTTACCATGATTAATTCTAACTTAATTGTAATTTGCAGGTTCAAATCAATATGATTATGAAAGGATAGATTAACTTTCAATTTATCTGTGTCAAGGGCATTTTTCAGGGTTTTTTTCTGTAGTAAGTTTGAAGATATTCCAATAAATACAAAAATTCCAATAAATACATTTGAAACTTAAATGAGAAGAACTGTAAGCACCAAACAGATATATTTTAAATTAATTTTTAGGTAAAGTCCTCCTAAAAACTACTCATAAAGTACCTGCATAAAGATTATAAGTAAGAAGAGATAAAAATAATTCCAAAAATGTTTTTATGTCTACACAGAAAAAGCATTTTGCATAAATACAAGTGGTGGTAGAACATGCATTAATACTGCTCTTAGTTTTTTAATACACAGAGAAATAGCAGTAACAACACCTTCAGTGGATAAAAGGGATAAAATTCTAGTCAGTGAGGCTATATTATTCACATGGCAGAGCTACTTTAAAAAACTAGTTTAGGGAGTGTGGGGGGTGGGAAGAGATTATCCAAAGAACTTATATGCACATATGCATAACCCATGGACACAGACAATAGTGAGGTGAAGGCCTGGCAAGGGGCGGGTGCAGGGTGGAGGAGTTGAATGGGGGATAAAAGGGGACATTTGTAATACTTTCAACAACAAAGATAAATTTTAAAAAAAACTAGTTTAGGGTTTGGGACAAGATGACAGAAACTCAACTCTCCCTGTTTCCTCCCCTCAAAGTACAACTAAAAAGTCTGGATATAATACAATCACAGGAGGGCACTGAAGTGACTCCCCTGGATTTAAGGAAAAAGATAGCAGATTAGTGTCTCCCAATTACCTACCCAGTGACAGAAGGAAGTCCAGGTTTAGTGCCTCTCAACTCAGAGCCCAAAGGCAAAGGCAGCCCAAGTCCAGTCGTCTCTGGACCCCCCAACCCAGCAGCAGAAAGTGTTTCAGGTAAAGCCCTTTCCTCCCCTGGTGATACTGGTGGGAACTCCATCAGCAGCATGTGACTTAGAGAACTGGCCTGGGGCAGTGGGCCTAGAGAAGGGCTCTCCAATCCTTCTGTCCAGAGGTGGGGCCTAGGAGTGTCAGGTGATTCAAGGGGACCAGGATCACACTATAAGGACTCCGAAAACTAAATGGTCATTAGAACAGGGTAACTACCTGATAAACTACAATATTTAAATAGGATCTAGAGTCTCCTAACATAATATCCAAAAGGTCCAGGAGACAAATGAAAATTTCTTGTTATACCAAAAACCAGGAAAATCACAATTTGAATGTGGAAAGACAATCAACAGATGTCAAACCAGGCTCTATCAGATACTGGAATTAACTGAGAAGGATTTTAAAGCAGCCATCATCAAAATGATTCAATAAGCAATTACAGATACTCTTAAAGCACATAAAAAAATCTCATCAACAATAGAAGATATTAAAAAAGAACCAAATGGAAATTATAGAAGTATAAGTAGTCATAGAAAAACATTTCATTGAATGGGCATAATAGCAGAATGAATAGGACAAAGGAAAGAATCAGTGAACTTGAAAACAGAATAGGAATTAATCTGAATGACACAGAAAAACATTAGTTTACAACTACCAAATAATAACACAATTATACATAATTCTTCTAAGCTTTTCATAGAAATAGAATGCTATGAGAACAAGAAAATGGTCAATAATTTTATAATCCATATGATCTTTATTAAAATAAAAAGTAAAAATAATACCTACAATTTTTATTGAATATACACATAAATACAAGAACACAAAATCTTCTCTAACCATGATACAGTTAGCCCCTAATGAATGCAAATACTTCAACATCCCCTTATTGTATCCATGGTATTAAATTTGAAGATACTCACCTTCGAACTAAATCCTGTTTCAGAAGATTTGCTTGTTGTTCAACTCCAACTGGTTGGGATATAGGCTGTAAATAGCACAGAAATAAAACTTGTTATGATAACAGAAAACTTCAGGCTAAAGATGAAATTTGCTATTATTTCAGAAAACATACATGATACATTTCATATTTTGGTTAACTGGCAAACCAGGCAGAATACACTATTGAATGTCTACATCAATCTTATTATTGCTTTTACTACCAAAGATAACGAAAAATAAAATGGAATAACACTCATTCATCAAGATTTTTCGTTAAGAGAGCATTGTTTTATAAGCTTTGTTTGTGTTATTTTTCAACAGAGAACACTGACATTCAGCTTCCAGTCCTCATTGTAAAACTACTCCTAAAAGAAAGAGTTACTGCCATTACACAAACAGATAAATCAATGACCCAAGCTTTAACATATTATGTGGTCTCACTCTTTCTTGCTCTCTCTTTCACAAAACTATTGCCAACTATACCTTTGAGGCGTTAGTATCAGGGAGCTGCAATACTGATTTCTGTGAAGAAAGTATAAGCCCTCTAAGAAGGCAAATGCCAATTCTGCTGAAAAACAATTTTAAACATTTATATAATCCATCCTATGCATTGCCACTGGTAATAGCAGTTACCTTAAAATGCAAATCTACCAAAAATGATTACTTCCCTGTCCCGTTTAAGCCCCCTATGATGGCTTCTCATCTTCTATGAGGTGAAGTTATTTTGGATGGCAAATAAAGTATTCAGTGAACTAGTTCCAGTCTCATTCTCTAGCCTCTTCTCTGCCTGAAGCCACACTGAACTGTAGCTCCTATGAATAAATTGGACTTTTCCATGAACTGTGATTCTATTTATGTTCCTTCATCTCCCTGGACTATTTCAACTTTTCCTAGTCCTGTCCATTTAGCAAATATCTGGATAGAACTCTTATATTAAAAAAAAGTCTCTATTAGCCCAGGACAGTTTGGCTCTGTGGTTAAAGTGTCAGCCTGTGGACTGAAGGGCCCTGGGTTCAATTCTGGCGAAAGGCATGTGCCTTGGTTGCAGGCTTGATCCCTGGCCCTGGTTGGGGCTCGTGCGAGAGGCAACCAGTCGATGTGTCTCTCACATCAATGTGTCTCTCTCTCTCTCTGAAGAGCAATGGAAAAAATATCCTTGGGTGAGGATTAAATAAATAAATAAATAAATAAGCCTCTATTATAGCGGGTTCCAGGCACCAACAAAATCACCTTGAAGACTCTAAAAGAACATATGCCTTAGCTCATATCTTGGTTTCTAAACTAAAAGGGACAAAGGTTCCTTGGAGAAATGGCTGATTCCAGCTCTTGGGCAAGGAAAGTACAAGATGAACCTGGATCATCTTGCTATACCAAAAAGTAAAGAACCGCTCAAAGAACGGTGGGAACATATGAAAAGCAGACAAGAACCAGCCTGAAGGGGTTCCCACTGCCCACAATTTGGGCTTCAGAGTAAATGATGAGAGTAGCAGAATATAACCCATTCAATAAAATAAGAACCCATGAGGTCATACTGAAAAAAACAAAGGAAAGCTCTTATAGTACAAAGCCAAGTAATAAATATAAGGAATGATGAAGTTAGAAAATTATCAATGGATGATAAAACTGGTGGGTGAAAGCTGGATGAGGAACAGGATATTTATAAAGTTTCAAAATATCTCCCCACAGATTGCTTATTAATTACAAAAGCAAAAAAAACGGCCACTTTACAGTAGAAGAACTTGGCAGGCAACACCATAATCAAATTTAACCTCAGTGATATTGGGACAAATTGACATCACATGCCTCCTAATATGATACGATGTGCAAAGAACACAACAACACTTACAGGTTATTCCTGACATTTAAATGCATGATCTAAATCTGAACTTGAAAAACATTCTACGCAATAACTAACCTTTAGTCTTCAAAAGTACCAAAGTTATGAAAGACAAAGGGTTGAGAAACTGTGCCAGGTTAAAGGAGACAAAAGAGACAACGCAAGTAAAGGCAATGTGTGCTCTTCAATTAGATCTTGGATCGAGCGGGGGGGTGGAAGGTGGAGAAATTGCCATTAAGGATAATATTGGGACAATTAGTGAAATTTTAATGTGAACAACAGATTAAATAATGGTATTATATTCATGTTAAATTACCTGGATTGGTCATTGTATTGTGGTTAAGAAAATGTTCTTGCACTTCTAGAGAAATATTTAGGGGTAAAAGGGCATCATGTTTAGAACTAGCTCTCCCATGTTTCAGAGGGGAAATAATACATGAATGAATAGTAGATGGATTGATGGATGGATGGACGGACGCATGGATGGACACATCAACCAATAGATGGTCAATGTCATCCAGTACATGTCTTTTATCATGTCCCTCTTTATTATATATGTTTAACGTCTGAGTCCAGGGACTCTATATGATTTATCTTTGTATTCTCAGTGCCTCTTAACACAGTGCCTAACACATTTTAGGCTTCCAATAAATGCTTGAAGACAGAAGGAAATAAGAAAACGGTGACATAAGAAAAAAGGCTATGCCATAAAAATGTATGTGAGCCAGTATTACTGATCCTAGACATCAATCCAAAAGAAATAAAGGAAGAAAAAAGTACATAGTATAAAGTTTGTTTCATAGGGAATGGAAACTATGTATTTGATTGTGATATCATATACAATAAATATTACTCAGCCATAAAAAAGAAATATTACCATTTGTAGCAGCATAGATGGACCCAGAGGGTATTATGTTCAGTGAAGTAAGTCAGTCAGAGAAAGACAAATACCATATGATTTCACTTATATGTGCAATCAAAAGGACAAAATAAGTGAACAAACAATATTGAAACAGATTCATACAGAGAGCAGACTAGTGGCTGCCAAAGGAGGGAGGTTGGGGAAATGGGTGTAAGAGGTGCAGTGATTAAGAAGTACACACTGGTAGTTAGAAAACAGTCATGGGGATGTAAAAGCACAGCATAGGGAATATAGTCAATAAAATTGTGGTAACTATGTATGGTGCCAGTTGGGTACTAAAAATACTGAGGGGATCACTTTGTAAAGTATATGACTGTCTAACCACTAAGCTGTACACCTGAAACCAGTACAAAATAAAACTGAAAGAAATGAAAAAGAAAAAAAAAAACTGATAGCAAGTTAGTTATCCAGGAACAGGGGAAGAGTTAGGTAATTATGATCACTCACTGCATTATTGTGTGACCATTGAAAACTAATCATGAAGTCTAAGTAATGGCAGAAAAAAATTACTTAACAATGAATGAAAAAAATCAGAAAACAGCCCGGCCAGTGTAGCTCAGTTGGTTGGGCATCATCCCATGTGCCAGAAGGTCGCAGGTTTGACTTCCAGTCAGGGCACATGCCTGGTTTGCTGGCTCGATCCCCAGAAGGGGACGTATAGGAGGCAACTGATCAATGTCTCTCTCTCACTGATGTTTCTATCTCTCTATCCCTGTCCCGTCCTCTCTCTGAAATCAATAAAAACATTTAAAAATTCAGAAAACAAAATTGTATATAAGTACAACCACTTATGCATATGACAAAAACCTGGAATACTATAACAAATATAACCACTGCCATGTGAAGGAAATAACATTCTAGGTGATATTTTCCCACTTTCCTACTTTTTATAATGATACTACATACATTTTATAATTTAAAGCTTTCAAAGAATAGCAAATACTTAATGTATAGGAAAATAGGTACCTTCATAAGCCATTGGTGAGATTGTAAACTGGTAAGACCTTTCTGAAGGGTACTTTAACAAGTCTTAAAAATGTCTAGCAATTCCGTTTCTAGAGATTTATCCCAAGGAAATAATTAAGAGTGTATACAAAGATTTAGCTACAAGAATGTTTCTCACAACATGAAATAGTGTAGCAAATAGCAAAAAAATTAGACACTTGTTTCCTTTACCTGCTCCATTAAATAAATAAGGGTACAACCATACTAAAAGATACTATACAGATTTTTAAAATGTGTTAAAACAGACCGGCTGGCGTGGCTCAGTGGTTGAACGCGGACCTATGAACCAGGAAGTCGCAGTTAGATTCCTGGTCAGGGCACATGCCCGGGTTGTGGGCTCGATTCCCAGTAGAGGGCGTGCAGGAGGCCCTTTCTCTGATCACTGATGTTTCTCTCTCTCTCCCTCTCTCTGAAATCAAAAAAATCATATTTTAAAAATTTTTTTAATGTGTTAAAACATATAAGATGTTATGAGTGAAAAAAGATTATAAAAGAAGACTCACAGTATGACTACAATAAAATTAAACATATGTATAAGTATATGAAATGGTCTGGAAGAATAAACACCAATGTATTAAACAAGCTTATCTATATTCATCTTTCTTTGTTAATAGGAAAAAAATATATTCAACTTTTTAGAGATTTATCAACCCTCAAATCTGGTCATCTCAGGGCAGGCCACCATTATTTCAATGCGTGACATTATAATAGTTTTAGACAAAAGTAATAATGAAACATTTCACTAAAATTGAAAGACATCTCTAAAAATGGTCCCGCATCTATTTGTAAATGTTAGTTTTGAAACTCTTAGAAATATTATGACAGAACTTGATTTGAAATTATCATATAAAAAAGCAGATGAACCAAACCATTAGCCGTGATTCTGAGGTCTAACACAAGCAGCATTAATAATCCTGTTAACAATTACAAGTAATTATAAATATAAATCCAGATTGTTGTCACAACATCTGTTTTGTTTCTCTTTACTTAATACATAGGCTTTCTTCCAGGTATATTCTTCAGGACACCATGTTACTGCTCTATCTTGCAAAGACCCACCATAATTCTTTTTAAATTCTGTAATACAAAACATTTGTTATGTTGAATATAATTTGTTGAATTTTGCATGTACAAAAAAAATCTCTTCACCAAAGTACTTGCTTTCAATGTTTAAACAATGATTATATTGAAGAATTAACTACCTAATCTCTAACTAGAAGCTAATCAAATTTATCCAAATTTTTAAAAAACCACAGTATGGGTTGACTAGGTTGAAGGAGGA